CTGCCTCTCTTCCGCTCTGACAAGTGCACAAGCCCTATAGCAAAAAAATCTCTCTCTCTCAAAAAAAGTAGCTGACAGAGGTTCAGTTACAAATTTTTGTTAGCAATGAACAAGTAATATCAGCCTAAACTTTTATCCAAACTCATTTCAATATATATGACTATTTTTTCTTATGTCTCTGAAATTATCTAGCATCTGATTATGCAGATAATTGTGTATTAATAATCACAAATTTAATTGAATTTTATTAACTCACATGTCTACACATGCCCAAAGAAAAAAAACAAGTTAAATGGGATAAAAAGAATCTTTAGAATGCTTTATGGCTCACAATATTTGTAAATGTCTTTATTATATATACATCATATGTTTTTTTTTTCTCTACTGTTTTTTGCTATAGGGCACATGAGCTCACTAGGGAGAGACAGAGAGACAAAAAGTGTGAAATCACACCTGGGGGAATGGCCACATCACGATCCCTTTTCCTCCATTCTCCTCTTTGTGGAATTTTGGGCATTTGCCTCTCTATTTTTCTCCTTATTGTCCTTATAGTTTTACATTTCTTATTTGAATTATTATTGAGCAGGTATTGTAAGAATTAGAATTGTGGTTTATGTAAAAGAGGCACTAAATAATTACTGAATATAAAAATGACAATAAAATGAATCAATCATTGAATAAAGAATGACTAATTTGTATTATTATTACAATTATTTTAATCCCGGGACTGTCATGAGCCCATATGCATACAATAGAATGACTCAAAATAACCAATAATTAGAATTTCAATTTTTTTTTTTTGGAGAGGTTTTTGCTATAGGATGCATGCGCTCGCCAGAAAGACAAAGGAAGACAGAGAGTTAGAAAGCAAGAAATCACACACACTCCCCACCCCCTGAGGGAGGATGGCCACGCTGCAATTCGTTCTCCTCCCTTCTCCTCTTGAGATCTTGGGCATGCATGCACGTGCACCCGGCATGAGTAACAGGTTTGCATGAGTTTAAGCCACTGAGTCTGGGACTAGAACAGCAGTCGACTACATGGGAATTCAGCGACATAGACATTATACCAACTGCTGGTCCCAGAATTTCTAATTTCAAGCACATGAAATACATTTGGAAATCCCATGAACTTCTGTTAACTCCCTGATTTTAATTCAATTGTGTGTTTCTATCCCTTTACCTATTTATTGATTCTATTTCTCATTATTCCTCATTTTCATCACATTCACCTTGACTAAAGAGGTATCACTAAAAATAATGCAAAAAATATGAACATCAAAAGATCACCCTCTTTGTATATAATAATTACCACAAAATTGATAGAAAAAAGACTTCGAAGAGAAAATATTTCAATCACATGTGAATTACATATGTAGTGTTTAGCTGTTTAAATCATCTATATAATAATACCTTTGAGGTTAGCAGTCACTCTCCCACAGGGCCAACTGCACTTCCAGTCACAGACTTGGCATCTTCAAAGTCATGCCAGGAACATGCGCACATGTGCCTAAAACTTGAGAGGAGACTGGAAGAAAGGGATTGTGGTGTGGCCAACCCCCTGGGGTCTGATTTTTTACTTACCCCTCTCTCTGTCTCTCTCCAGCAAATGAACACACTCTATGACAAAAATCTTGAAATAATAATAATACCTTCAAATGTGGAATATTTTTGACCTATGGATGTTGAGCCTTTTCTGTGCTCCAAAATATAAAAAAACATTATTGATTTCTTTGTAAACAAAACATTTAAATTATTGGATTCTATGTTTTAAATTTTCATTGCAGAAAAATTATTTTAAGTGGATATTTATATTGATTAATAACTTTTAACTACACAAGTCATCACCTCTATACTAGTTTTAAAAAAATTGTTATTAGAGTAACTTTATATCAATAAAATATACATTAATAAAAATATTTAGAAAACACATATTCTCAAAATTAAGACAGTCCTTCCTTGTAAAATATAGTCAGTGAAAAGATGAGTGAATATATGAATGAATAAGAGTATGCCTGGCAAGGTTGTATTATTAATTGCGAACAGAGCCTTATCATGGTTTTAGGAATCTTAATGAAGACCGGAGTTTGGTCCTCTCGTAAATAGCTAGTGCCTCAAAAACAAGAAACTCCTTTTTTGCTGTCTAGAATTGCAATGGTATGATAGATGTTTTTCATTTGCATGTGGATTTATAAATTAAGAGAAGTTTTCATTGTATTTCCTTGTTAGATAATATAATAAGAATTTGTTTGTCTTTTATATGAAAACATTCTCTGCATTCCCATTGAATTCTTAAGTTATTCAAAAGTCCAAATAACTGTCTTTAATTTTGTGTTTCATCCCCCATTGTTAGGCAACAATGCAATGCAATTATTTTCATAATGTCAAGCAATCTTTTAGATTATTTGTTAATCATCTTTAAGCTGTAGAAGGCTCTTGGTGATGAGACAATGATAAGAAAATCACAATCCCCTTCACCACCTAAGTGTTTGGCATTTTATTATACAAAACTTTGTTGCAAGATACTTCTTTATCTCACTTGGCCATTCGTTTTACTAACTTCATTCAATGTGATAACTTAAATGGTAAAAAAAGAAATGTTATTTAGAAAGCAGCATAGAAAATCACCTTATTACATGCAGACTATAGAAATGTTGACATATATTTGTAATAATTGCGATGGTGTATACATTTTAGAAGACTTTTATTCCAATTAATTTAACTACCAAACGATGTATATACTTATATGATGTTCATGATGCAATTATTTTTGTTGTCAAGATGTCAGGAAAATATTTTAGCTCTTTTATTTATCTAGAGGTGAATATTTTCTAGTGGAGAAAGGATATTACAGTGTATACATGTTTATATATAATAAATTTGTCATGGATATTATAAACTACAATTAGCAAGAATGGTTTGAGAAAAGCTAAACTAAAAAAAAAAAATCACATGTATTATATAAAAGATCCAATAATCCAATGAACATAATTGCGACAAGCTCCCATGATTTCTTCTTTGGGGAACTGCCCCTATACACTTACATTTCAGATAAATCAGAACACTAAGTGTTTAGCATTATAACCCAATCCAGTGCAATTATACTTCTTATCTCAGAATCATGTCAGCTGAGACAATTTGGTGTTAACCAACTCCAGTAGAGAAGTTAATACTCTTCTGCTGTTGAGGTCCTAGAGTACCTGGCTTTTGTCTTTCTCAGGTTATAGTTATTTAACTTAATTGCTATGATATAATTCAGAATAGTTCTGTAGCATGGCCTGATATTTTGTTTTATTAAAATCTAATCAAAATGAAATTCTAGAAAGTATAACCAATTATACTAATGTATTAAAGGGCTGGAAATAAATATTTTCTGGAAACTAAAGGGAAATATTGAGAGGTAAGAAAAAAGCAATATTTTACCTATATGTCCTGTATGTAAGGACATATGAGGCTGTTTGTTATGTAATGCAATTATTATTTATTATTTTATTAATTAAGGCACTTATCTAATCAACAAGTATTTCTCAAATTACTTGCATGTTCTTATTGGACACTCCCTGATGGTGCCTACGATTCCTGTTAACTTCCATTTTATCTCACACTAGGTAGACAGAATTTGGAAACATGAATATTTTAAGCTCTATTCAAACATTAGGTGTTATAAGGATTCATATTCCCAGACTGATTCATACTTGGTCTTTAAGCCTATTCATCCATCCTGGATTCCCTTTTACTTTTTACTTCATTATTCTTGGGTCATTTTGGTTGCCTACAAAGCCCTAGTACTCTCATCCTTATCTCTTTGGTCTTTATCCCATAAATAATGGGGTTCATGGTAGGTGGCACCAGCAAATAGAGATTTGCCAGGAGGATCAGGGTATGCCTGGGTACCTGGTGTCCAAAGCGGTGGGTAAAAAATGAAAAGAAGGCCAGAGTATAGAATATCAATATGACACATATGTGGGCTCCACAGGTTCCAAAGGCCTTTGCCCGGGCTTCCCTAGAAGGTAGTTGGAAGACTGTCCTCAAGATTAACCAGTAGGAGAGAGAGATGAAGACAAAGTCCAATCCTGTGGTAAGGAGAGCAGCAGTGAGACCATAAACGCTGTTAAGGACAATGCTATTGCAGGCCAATTTGGCAATGCCCATGTTCTCACAGTAGGTATGGTGAATAATGTGGCTCCGGCAGAAGTGCAGCCGGAAAATGAGTAGGACACCGGGGATGACTACAGCCACACTCCGGGCCACCAAAGCCAGACCCACCTTACCAATGAGAGAGCCTGTGAGCAGGGTAGTATAATGTAGTGGTGCACAGATAGCCACATAGCGATCAAAAGCCATGGCCAGTAGAATAGCAGATTCAGAGAGGAACAGAGCATGAACGAAAAACATCTGAGTAAGGCAAGCATGAAACGTTGATGGGGAAGGGCCCTTCCAGAAGATAAGGAGCATTTTAGGCACTGTGACAGTACAAAGGAGAACATCGTTGAATGCTAGCATGGCCAGGAAGAGATACATGGGTTCATGAAGGCTTCTGTCGCAGGCCACCACGGCCATAACCAAACCGTTGCCTATCATGGCCAAGAGGTACATGAAGCCAAAAGGGATGGAGATCCAAATATGGAATTCTTCTAGTCCTGGGACACCAGTCAGCAGAAAGGCAGTGAGTTGAGTAAATGTATAGTTGGATGCTGTTACAGAGAAATGACCAAAGTCTATTAACATAACAAAAGAAAGATAGCTAGAGTAAATAACAGTAAAATAGGCATATTTATTTTTTCATCCTAGTATAGTCTTTTTTTTTTTAAGAATTATTTTATTTTAACTTTATTTATTTATTTACTTATTTATTTATTTTTTAACTTGGCCAGAGAAGGACAGAGTAAGAGAGAAAGAGAGGGAGAGGGAGCAAGGGAAAGTGAGAAAGCAAGCCATCAGGACCGAGACTCAAACTGTTGTCGGTCATGTGGGAGTCCAGCGCCCTTAACCACTATGCCACCTGCTGGCCCCCCCTAGTCAAGTCTTAACTTTTTGCATGGTCAAGTGAAAGTAGCAAGAACTATAAATAAAAAGAAACTAGAAAATTTAATAAATAATTGAATGATTACAGGAAAATTATGCCTCACATCTTTTTTGAAAAAATTAATTGATTTCTTTCTTTAAAAAAATATCTGAAGGCTCATGCATTTGAGAGAGAGAGACAGAGCGAGCACTCCCCGTAAAGGCTGGTTTTGCTGCAACCCCATTTCCCCTATTTTTTTCTTCCTTTTGAGGTTTTGGGCTCTGACACACATATCCAGAGTGTTTTTCGTGCCACCAGGTCTGGTACTTGAACTGTACAGTTGACCAGGTGGAATCCAGACACTTTAATCACCAACCATGGGCTAGCCCCATTTATTTATTTCTTCCTTGACATAGAGAGAGAAAGAGAGAGTAAGGTACCCCCAGTAGGATCTTCACACCACAGTCTATTCACAGACTTTGCCAGTCTGGATCACAAGCAGGCAAACTTGGTACACACAGGGCTGGGACATGCCCTTGAGTCTCCTCATGTGGGTCCAGTTGAGTTACCACTGCATCATCATTAGGCCCTCATCTTCTTTTATAATATTCTTTTTTTTTAGAGAAAAATTGCAAAAAGCTATGAGTCAAATCCTTTACTTTTTGTAATGCCAGTTATTCTAACTGCACAAATCATGTGTATGCCTTTACTTTTACATTATCAATTCATTTTTATTTATTATTATTATTTTTAAATTTGTCCAGAGAGAGACATAGAGAGTGAAAGTGAGAAAGGAAGCTGCCAGTTCTAGTTCTCAAGCTGCTGTCAGTCATGTGAGTCCAGAGCCTTGATCACCAATGCCACCTGTCAGCTCTATGTGTGTGTACGCCTATTGAAATTTTAACTATTCTGTGTGTATAGTTTTTGCCTTTCTAACTTGAAAATGAACTCTTAATTATAAAAAATAATTTTCCTCATTTTCCATAATAATGAGTTTCTAGAAAATTGGAAATAATATTTCTGTCTTTTCATTTTTGTGGACCAATTTAGTAGAGATAGATTAGATAGTAAACTGATACATAACCTGAGGCAGCATGAAGATTCTAGTTCTTGCTCTCCATCCAAAACCTGCGAAATATGTTTCCTTGGTTTCCTTTTTCTACCACAGGGGAAAAAACACACTCATCTACTTCCCATCCATACCCTTAAACATAATAATTCAATTAATGTAAAATTTAAACTGCTGTGCCAAAGGTGTAATATTACTTGCTATCTAATAAGTACTAACTCACCAGGATCATGACATTGAGACCAAGAAGAAATAGAAATTTGGAATACTATATGTTCTCACTGAGAACAAGAAAATTACTGGAAAATGCCAAAGTCTTTCATTATTCAATACCTAGCAGTCAGTCTTCCACAAATCAGTGTTGATTATAATTTTCATATCTGCCAATAACAAAACCAGACCAAATTACAGTAATTTTTGTAATAATAGGGGTTTGATTTTTAGTGCATTGAATAACATTCTAAAATAAAAAAAAACTGTCTCTCAGAACAATCTCATGTATCTAGTTGTTTATTTTTCTGAGACTGAAAAACATTGATTCAATTGATAAAGTTTATAATCAAGGTAGCATGTTTTGGCAAAGGCATCCTATGTTTATCAACACTTTCACTGAAACTCTTGGCACTTTTAAAATTACACATTACAAATGTTCTTAGAAATAATAAAATAAAATGAACTAAAATTAAAATCTACCTACATCTAGAATCTGCGCAGGCTCTCCTTTTCACATGGTGGTGTCACACCACCAAGTATGCAGAAAACTACTCTGTATTTCAGAATGTCTAGAAATGTTCAACGAAATCTTCACATGGTGGTGTCACACCACCAAGTATGCATAAAACTACTCTATATTTCAGAATGTCCAGAAATGTTCAACGAAATCCTCCTTTTCGGATTATTCTAACTTTCTTAGAAAGAATAGGTTACAATCATCATGTTATCAATATTGTTTCCTTTATTTTCCTTCACACTATATTCTTTTTCTCTACTTCTTTCTGCCTCTCTCCTTTTCTCTCACATGAAATTCAGATGAGGAAGAAAATGCAAAATTTCTGGCCCAAGGGAAAACACAGAAAATATATGATGTGATTTTTAATAAGAACTATAAGAGATTTACTTGGCCAGTTATTTCGTTAAAAATAGAGAGACATAGCCACAATTTTATTAGCCACTTAAGTTTGTAGCTTTGCAGGGCTAGCAGGTGGCATTGTGGTTAAGGTGCTTAAGTCCCACATGATTGACTATGATTTGAGTCCTGGACCTGGATGCTTAAGTCATGTTGAGCACATGTGTGTGGATGCTCAAAATCCCAGGAGGAGAGTGGAGGAGAATAGGACTGCAGCATGACCATTCTTCCTTGGCGGGGGCATTGGGGTGGGGGGATTTCTTACCTTCTCTCTCACTATCTCTTTCTGGCAAGTCCATGCACGCTATGGCAAAAAAACTAAAACAAAACAAAACAAAACAAAACAATGGACAAAAAAGACTGCTTTTCAGTTGTCTTTCAGCAGTGCCAGACTTTGTTATTTAATACCACATAGAAAACATTAGTGATGGAATGTAAAGCAAATACATAAATAAATGAAAAAGAACATATCAGACTATTTAAATAGAAATCATACACAGAGCACTAGGTTGTGTTAAATATTTTCCTAAAAAGCATTGTAAGCACTGTACATGAATTATTCAGTTCTGTATAAGGTAGCTATTGTTATTATCCCAGTTTTACATGGGAGGAATCTCAGAAACTAAAGGATGAACTTTTTCAATGAAATGATTAATACTAATGAGTATGCAAAATCACTTACAAAGAAAACGAGGGATCCTAATTGCAGAATTCATACTTTTAATCACTAACCCATGTTAATTTACCTTGTGCATGCATCATTTTTCCAAGTGACTGAAAACATAAAAAGGCAGATCTTGAATTTACTTTTAGAATCTCACTCAGAGATATTCCTACGTCTCAGGTGAAACAGCCGGTCTTGCTTATAAGAACTCATCCCTCTGCACTGTGCAAAGTTATTAATAAAAGTCACCCATGGAATAAACTTTGGTCAGGAGGTCTTCTGGGTATTTCCCTGCCAAGTGACTGCCTTTACACTTGAGGTCCCACAATAATTATTTAGATTAGCTCACAAAATCATGGCTTTCACACTCATGAAGTTATATTTTTTCAATTTTAAAGTTCACCTGGTAATTTTGTATTTTAAACCAAGTCCGTGAGTGACACTCCTGCACATTTTTGCCAACTCAGTATGTCATCCTTAAAAAAATATAATAAAATGTAAGGAGGTTCCCTATCGCATAGTTTTTCTGGAACATGAACATCTCATAGGACAAAGCAAGACTCTTAAAGCTGTTCTAATGTATTTCCTTAATGAATTACCAAGTATCCTCTCTGTGATATTTTGAGTTGAAAAGTGTGATAAGGATATTGGAAGGACTCCCACTTTCAAAATGTATCTTTTTTTATTAATAATAATAAGAGCTCTTACTTTTAAGAGCATTTTCAGGTTAGAGCCAACAGGTGGCATGAAGGATAAAGGCACTGGATCCTACACTTCCAACTGTGCAGTTTGAGTCTCGAACTGCAGTCTTGAGACACACTCCAGGAGCAGTGTGTGCCTGTCCAAAATCCCCTTAGGAGAATGGAAGAGAAGAGATTGTGGCATGACCATCCCCTAGTGCCTGATGGGTGATTTTTCATGTTCTCTCTCCCTCATTCTCTTTTTCTGTTTTTCTTCTGGCAAACACAACCAAAATCCCCTTAGGAGAATGGAAGAGAAGAGATTGTGGCATGACCATCCCCTAGTGCCTGATGGGTGATTTTTCATGTTCTCTCTCTCTCTCATTCTCTTTTTCTGTTTTTCTTTTGACAAACACAAGTGTCCTATAGTAAACTAAGAAAATAAAATAAAAACTTCTGTGCTCTAACTAGCCATCTCTTACTCTTTGTTATCGGTTTATTTATTTATTTATTTATTTGAGAGGCTTTTGCTATAGGGCACATGCACTTGCGAGGAACATAGAGACAAAGAGACATAAAACGAGAAATCACCCCCACGGGGGATGGCAACGCTGCAATCCCTTCTCCTCCATTCTCCTCTCAGGATCTTGGGCATGCACGCACACGCACCTTGCATGAGTTTAAGCCACCGGGTCTGGAGACTCGAACCGTGGTTGACTACATGGGAGTCCAGTGACATAGCCATTACGTCAACTGCTGATCTCTCCTTTCTAATATTTTTACTGTCTCCAAATTTTTATTTTTTCCCATAATGTCGTATATTTAGAATCATACAGTAAAAAATGGCATTTTCAGATTGGCTTTTTCACTTAATGACCTGCTTTTACAACTTCTTCTTGCCTTCTTGTGTCTTCATATCTCACTTATTTTGATTGCTAATTAGTACTCTTCTGTCTGAGTATGTGATACTTTTTTAAAAAATAATCTTTCATAGGGCACATGTACTTGCCAGAGAGAGAGACAGAAACAGAGAGGAAAAATGAGAAAAGATTTCCTCAGGGTGGATAGCCACACTACAATTCCCTCTGCCAAAGAGGCTGTGATATTTTGTGTTTTTGTCAGTAATAAATGAAAATTCCTGTCCCTCTGTATCTTGTCAGAATTTAGTGTTGTCCAGGACCAGC